AATAAAAATAAAGATTTCAAACTGCCAATCAGTATCACAGTTGAAAACTAGTCGGCATAAAAGAATGATTCTAAAATAGCTAACTAACACCACCGATGCTTTGGAAGTATTTGAAATGTAATACCGATAGCGGACACGTATCTACCTCTCTTATAGCCCACGTCCCACAAATGTGCAACACTACTGGGTAGACTACTGCTCAGTTATACTAACCTTTTGATTGATAGATAAGCATCTCACTTTTGCCATACGTGGCGCAGTTAAATGAAAGAGAACTGTCTAAGTTTTTTCATTTACCCTTTTTTCTGTTAGAACGTATCACCCTAATAAGATTATCTTCTTTGTATATATTATTATCAACAGAGATAGAGGATATTGCACGAAAAAATAATTGATAAAAATTTTACTTGGAAATAGTTGGTTTATACACAGGTAGCATGATGGTTGTAAAAATACTACTAACAAAAATCTGGGTTTTTCATTAGAGATGAAATGTTGTTTCTCAATGATTTTATGAATCTCTGTTTTTATAGTCCGTGAATAAAGTTCTTTCGATCTACAATTCGACCCAAGTACTCTCAGTCGACTATTATTTGGTTGCATTAGACTAACCCATGATGATAGGTACAGACGATCAGATTGAGTTGCGATCAGTGGTTGGAAAATTGTGAGTAACATGGATCAGTATCATTCACTGTGCCTCAAATGAGTCCACTTTTTATTTTCCATGAAGTCTTGAACCTCAATATACTTTCGTATTCTAATTTCTAAAATTCATCCATTCTTTCTGAAGAATGTTCTTTAACTTATACGAATATTCATTAATATTCGAACGAATAGTTTGACAGAAATCGGACACCGAATATATAAAAGACATTATTTGCGAAAACTATATTTAAAATAATATCAGTGATTGAAATTTAAATAATTCCAACGTTTCGTACGGCAAACATGTTTGGACTTCTTCAGGATAGTAATCAAAAACCCTTAACAATCAAATCAAATCTACACTAAATGCTAATCCAATTATATTCAGATGATGAATTTAGTATGTAGGGTAACATGGGTCAGTAAGGTGTAAATCATGTGAAAATTTCACAATGTGAAGATAAATGAATGAATGTGTGTGTATGTGTAAGTTTAAGTTATTAATAGTTGATATTAAATGTCAGTTTATTCATTAAAAGTAAAAATAAAAGTGCAAATTGAAGATGTTTTCGAAATGTTGGTTTGTATGTGAAATGAAAATCATCGAATTCATAAATAAAATATACAGCTTACTTTTTGCAGTAGAACAATGTATGTGAAATAAACAGGTTGGATGGAAATAGGGTTCAATTACTCGTTGATGAACATTTGCCAAGGGGTAGCCAGTTGAATACCATATTTTCTATCCAGGTTGTGTTCAAAATCGCCCGTATATACAGCGCTTCTGCTATCAATCTTTCTTTATGCGTGCCAAACCCTATCTGAAGTATTTTAGTCCCTTCGAAGTTGATCTGTTATCCTGTTTCGAACGCATGTAACGATATCGCTGACTTATTCTTCAGTTTCTTTAGATCAACCGAAGATTAGGGAATATGTTTCAAACATTGTTTGTGTTTCTTTAATCTCTCATTCAACTGTCTAGATGTTTCTCCCACATAAGCTGCATCACAATCATAAGAGTTGACTTCATTCTGTTGTTCTTCCTTTGGAAACCTCTCCTTGACTTTCACTAACGCTGATCTCATGGTTTCACTGGCATGAAAATACACTTATAATATGTTTGCTTAGAACCCTATTAATATCTATCAATGTTTCTTTACAGTATGGGATGACCACAGTGTTCTTCCATTCTTTTAGTATACATTAGTTTTCCTTTCATTCCTAACAGTATTCTTTAAAAACTTGAGGGTAGTTGTTTGCCCTAATTATGGACAATATTACTTTCAATTCAGTCTGCTGCTCTTCTTTCTCTATAATGAGATTATAACTCCCTCTGATTAAATTTTTCACCACTGTAACATTTGTACATTCATTCAGTCAAGCAATTGAGAAACTCTAGTTTTTTTCAGTGAATTCTATGTCCTCGGGTAGCGTAATGCTATGCGCTATGTTTATATTTTCAAATATTTCTTCTGGACCATTTCGTTTAGTGGTGACAAGAATGTCATCTACATACTGTAACCAAACCTCGGGTGGATCTACTTATTTTGTGATAGCACTGGTTTCTAAGGAATGTATGAATAAATTCGGTAAAATCGGAGAAACTGGTGAACGCATTGTTACACCTTACTTTTATCTGTAAAGATCTCGAAATTAGAATGAGTTAGACAGTAAATACGGTTCAAAACACGTAATAATAACCTCGAAAGGATCTAACGGGCATCATAAATTCAAATGTGTCAGTTTCCAAACAATCATAAATAAAATCCAGTGCTCTATTGATAGGTTCATTAGTACATAAGGAAGAAATGTCAAACTTGCCATCAGTACATCATCTTCCACGTGAATGGTATCAATATTATTCTTGAAATCAGTGGAGTTTTTAATTACATGATTAACCGATTTATCATATGGTCTGAGTATTCTAGCTAAGTATTTCGCTAGTTTATATGTTGGTGAATTCGTCGAATCCATCAGTGGTCTTAGTGGTGTATTCCTGTGAGTTTTTGTTATTCCACAGAACCTATAAGGATTATAACTTTTTGGATATAATGTGAACAACATTGCTGGACAAAACGTTGGAATTATTTGACTTGCCATTGCCGAGTTTATTTTAAATATAATTTTCACGAATAAATATCCTCTGATGTTTAAACTTTCTCACTATCATCTATACTATTGTTTTGATTATTTTAGTATCCCTCTTTATTAACTTCTCTTCGTGTTGACGTGGCATGGCAACTCGAAGTGACGCATATTTTTGTCAGAGTTAATGTTTTTATTATGACTAATGATTGACTGAAATTAGATGAAAGAGTACATCCAAAGTCGAGAAACTGCTCATTAGTTTCATAAACATACAGTTAATAGTGTTAACCATTATTGAATAAAAATAGTCCACTACTTCAATTATACTACGTAGCATGTAGGTACATAAGAAATGATTAACTTTTGCTATCATTATATATATAAATTCCTATTTTGGATATGAATGATCATACTTACTTACGCCTGTTACTCCTAATGGAGCATAGGCCGCCGACCAGCATTCTCCAACCCACTCTGTCCTGGGCCTTCTTTTCTAATTCCATCTAATTCTTGTTCATTTTTCTCATGTCTATCTCCATTTCCCGGCGTAATGTGTTCTTTGGTTTTCCTCTTTTCCTTTGGCCTTCAGGATTCCACGTGAGGGCTTGTGTTGTGACACAGTTGGGTGCTTTCCTTAATGTGTGTCCTATCCACTTCCAACGCTTCTTCCTGATTTCTCCCTCCAATGGGATCTGGTTTGTTCTTTCCCACAGTTGGTTGTTGCTAATAGTGTCCGGCTAACGGATCCGAAATATTTTGCTTAGACAAATGTTAATAAACACCTGTATCTTCTGGATGATGGGTTTCGTAGTTCTCCAGGTTTCCGTCCTATACAGTAGAACTGTCTTGACATTTGTATTGAAAATTCTGACCTTGGTGTTGGTTGACAATTGCTTTGAGTTCTAGATGTTCTTCAGTTGTAAATCTGCTGCTCTTGCTTTACCAATCCGCGCTTTCACATCCGCATCAGACCCACCATGTTCATCAATGATGCTGCCCAGATATGTAAAGGTTTTTACATCTTCCAAATCTTCTCCATCAAGTGTGATTTGATTGGTGCATGTTGTGTTGTATCGGAGAATCTTGCTTTCCCCTTCGTGTATATTAAGACCTACTGCTGCTGAGGCTGCTGCTACACTGGTCGTCTTCTCCTGTATTTGTTACTGCGATTGTGATAGGAGGGCCAGATCATCTGCGAAGTCTAGATCGTCCGGCTGCATCCTAGATGTCCACTGTATCCCGTGCTTCCCTTCAGATGTTGACGTCTTCATGATCCAGTCGATCACCGGGAGAAAGAGAAAGGGTGAGAGTAAGCAACCTTGCCTGACGCCGGTCTTTACCTCGAACTAGTTTGTCAATTGTCCTCCATGCATAATTTTGCAGTTTAATCCATCATAGGAATTCCGTATGATATTGACTATCTTCTGAGGCACGCCGTAGTATCGAAGAAGCTTCCATAGTGTTGTTCTGTCTACGCTATCAAATGCTTTTTCGTAGTCAATGAAATTGATGTAGAATGATGAATTCTATTCAATCGATTGTTCCACAATGATCCGTAGATTTGCGATTTGGTCTGTACACGATCTATCCTTACGGAATCCTGCCTGTCAGTCTCGAAGTTAGGCGTCTACGGAGTCCTTCATTCTGTTTAACAATACCCTGTTGAAGACTTTTCCCGGTATTGAGAGAATAGTGGTGTCCCTGTAGTTATCACACTTGCTGAAATCGCCTTTCTTTGGTATTTTGATCAGAAGTTCTTCTTTCCAGTCTGTTGGTACTTGTTCCTCATTCCAAATATTATTGAAGAGGATGTGGAGTATCCTTGCACTTGCCGCTACGTCTGCTTTCAGTGCCTCTGCTGGAATGTTGTTTGGTCCTGCTGCTTTACCACTCTTGATTTGTCTGATGGCCATGCTGATTTCTTCAATTGTTGGTGGGCCAACATTGTTTGGGAGGTCCGTGGGTGCTGCTTCGATATTGGGTGGGTTCAGTGGAGCTGGTCGATTCATGAGTTCTTTGAAGTGTTCCACCCACCTGTTTCTTTGTTCTTCAATGTTGGTGATTACCTCACCTTCCAGAGAGTTTCTTTGTCGTGTCATACAGTTGTCTCATGTTCACTTCTCTTGCAGCCTTTTCCGCCGTCGTTGCTAAATCTTCTGCATATTTGCGTTTGTCAGTTCTGATGCTCCTTTTCACTTGTTTGTTTACTTCTGCGTATTCAGCTTGTGCCTTGGCTTTCTCTGCTCTTGTTCGGCTGGAATTGATTGCTGCCTTCTTTTTTCTCCTTTCTTGAATCTTGTCCAGTGTATCAACAGTGATCCATTCCTTGTGATGGTGTTTCTTGTGGCCCAGAACCTCATGACATGTTGAAGTGATTGCCTCTTTGATCCGTTCCAACCTTGGCGTTGAAATCTCCCATCAGAATTGACAGGTCCTTTGTTGGACACTTCTCGACGATTGACTGCAGCCTATTGTAGAATTGATCTTTAGTGTCTTCATTGTAGTCGTTGGTAGGCGCATAGCATTGGATGATGCTCATTGAAATACCCTCTTTCTTTGTTTTGAAGGAGGCTTTGATGATCCTTGGTCCATGAGATTCCCATCCTATAAGTACATTTTGTGCTTGTTTGGACAGCATCAATGCAACTCCTTGTGTATGTGGTGCATTTTCTTCTTCATGGCCGGAGTATAACAGGAGCTCTCCTGTAGTTAGTCGTTGTTGTCCAACTTGTGTCCAATGTGTTTCACTGATCCCAAGTACCTCTAGGTTGTATCTTCTCATTTCTGCAGCAATTTGGAAGGCTCTCCCGGTGTCCCACATTGTACGAACACTCCGTGTACCTAAATAAATGATTGCTCTGGTTGTCAGAAGGGGCATCGGCCTCATAACTTCCGAAGGAACTCGGCTTTCATCATGAGGCGTCGTAACTCTCCTAAATAAAGACCTGACTCCCAGGGCAGAGTTTAAATGGTTTGAATAATTTTTTTCTGGTTAGCGTTTTTTAGCGAGTTAGTTTTCTACAGGATGGGGACGCTAACCCCATGCCCAACCCTCCTCCTTTATCCGGGCTTGGGACCGACAGTAGCCCCCGGAGGGACTCCAGGTGGAGTTATGAATGATCATAATATCCACTTAACTAAAAGCCGCTTGACATTTTTGACTACTAAATTTGCAGTAATGTTTTCTATGGTGATTACTATTAATCTGCAGTTATTACTGTGACAAGATATTATCACATAAAATACTTGCCAACTTATTGGTGAACGATAGTTGTCAATTTTATAGTCTGTAGTCAGCTAGATAATCGTGTAACACAGAGCATTAGCACCTATTCCACTTTTAATAGTGTTTATCTACAGTCCTACATTGAAGAGCAGAACTCCAGATCTGACAATAAACACCATACATCCACTCAATCAAAATTGGATAATCTGTTTATCCCAAATTTAGTTAATTTGTAAAGTAGAATAACCATCTCTGGATGATAATATTGAATGCTTCCTACATTCTTAATTTAGTTGACTTTATTTTATTAGTCACAATTAAAATATTCACTTAACTGACAATTTGTATTATATTTGCAATTGACGTAAACTTTGATTTGTCATATTGAAAAGTAAATATGTAGTGCATGTAATGAGTCGTTAAATATTTCCTGTATATTATTGAATAATTTCATTGACTCAATTGTTTCTGTTTCTCCCCCTTTAGATTCTTTTTTAACTACACGTTCTCATTTGGATAACGAAGCGACACGTATGATGAAAACTCAATTTATGGCTTTATGGGATGGATTAATAACAAATAATAATACTCAAATAGTAGTTGTAGGCGCAACAAATAGACCTGGAGATTTAGATCAAGCTATATTACGTCGTTTATCTTTTAAGGTAAATTATAAATATTTATACGCAATATCCCATCGTTTTGTTACTTAGTGGGTTTTTTGGGGGAAATTTTATTACTAAAATAATGAAGTGTACTCTACTAAACACAATTGTATATCACTTATGATCCCCGTCATATTAAAAGACCAGTATTTGAACGAAGAATATTCTTTTCGATGAAATTCTCTTCATGTTCTACAATTATATATCCAAATTAATAATCCGAGAAAATGGCCAGGTTAAGGGCGAAATACATCGTTTAAAGCGTATGAATTTAGGATTATGATAAACAAAATAGAATAAAATTGTTAATGTTAATATGACTCATATAGAATGTTAACTTGAATCTGTGTATTTGACCCATATTTATTCTGATCATGGATGTTAACATTTCACTTAACATATACGCAGATTCAAGTTAACATTCTATATGAGTCATATTAACATTAACAATTTTATTGTATTTTTTTATCACAATTCACATGCTTTAAACAATTGTATATGTATCAGTGGGCATCGATATTCTGCTGTTTGGAAATTTAGCAACCTTTCATAGTACTCACTTATCGGACCAAGGTATGTGTCAGTTATTTTCCTACTTCAGAGTTGATCTCATCAGTAGCTTATTCTAGTCGATGAAACTTATAAGGTCATTGTTTCAGATTACGCTACCTCAACTCAAATATTTGCATAAACTGGAAATATTTAATACCATGTTAAAGGTCCGAAATTCAAGATTAAAATTACACAAGTAAATCAAGTTGGACTACCTTTCATGGCTGTTCTTTTCTTTCTTATCTCAGATAAATGTTCCACTTCCTAACGTAAATCAAAGAAAGCATATCTTAAAAGTACTTCTTAAGGATGACCCAGTTGCTAAAGCTCTCAATGAAGATGATTTCATGCAGATCGCTAGTAAAACTGAAGGACTTTCTGGAAGTGATCTGTCTGAACTATGTCGTAAAGCAGCATTTGCATGTCTATGGTCTTTTCTTGAAGGTGATGATACGTAAGTTTTATGACACCGTTATCGTTCATAGTTTATTAACAAAGCTACTTTAGAATTCACTTCAAGTTATATCTATTTATCTGTTGAATAAAATTTCAATTGTTACCGACTTACTAAAGCCACACAATCATATTCATATTTGTTTTGCACTTAGTCAACCAGTGGAATCTGGCAAATATGTGTATTGGTTTGAGTTGCCAAACCACAATAGCACAGTTAGATGAGATTATTGGGACAAACTCCAGACTGGTAGAAGTAGTAACAGCATATTTCCAACCTACTCCTACACCACAGATCGCTTGTCGAGGTACGAGTTAGTTGATCATTAGAGAAACAGCACAACCACTTCGGCTGATGAAGCTCCATTGTTTACCAACCAACTGCCAAACCTCAGTACTTCTCATTCAACTCATACTACCAATGCTTTGAAGACACCTATGATCGAGTACTAGTAACCTATGAATACTCTCTGTTCTAAATCACCATATTTTATATTTATAAAGAATTACAGAGTGGATTAATGCTCAGTAAAGTGGTCCTCACCTGCACCACAGATGATGCAACTTGGTGTAGCCAACTAGGTTTCTGAAGCCTTGCCAAGATTTCGTCAGACACCAGCCCATCAAAACTGTTGAAACTCTCAACATAGGTGAAGCGGTCGATATCCTCGACTACTTTACTGTAGTCATTAATTCAAGCGCTGGAGCGAGCCAATCCCTAAGTAACATTTTTGACTTTAAGAAGGAGAGTCACATTCTTAACATACTTGCATTGTTGATCAAAGCGATCACAAAACTGAGTTTTGTCAGCCTCCTCGCCAAATAGAGCTATTTACTCTGCTTATTGTTGACCCCTTGGTAGGTCAATTCCTGAATATCGTTATCTTTAGAAGTATGTCTGTGATCAAGTTAAAATAGAGAAAGTGGGTAGCCCTGAAGAACATTTTGAGTTGATAATTCTGATGACAGTTTGTTATAGGCTTTGAGTCGATTACTAGTGTTTGAGTAGAGATCTCGTAGAGTATATATATATATATATATATATATATATATATATATATATATATATATATATATATATATATATCTGACACCCAGTCAATTTCATGAAAAAGTGATTACAATCAAAATGTCTAAGCTTTAGCTTATCTAACCATGCTATTGAATAATGTGAACCTAAAATTCTAAAGTATCTAATTTTTTTTCACACACGCCAGTGGCAAACTTCCAGATTAAATCTAGTATATGCTAACATTGATAACCTTCATTACAATGGAAATTACACTTTTATTAACTTCTTAAGTTTTGTTTACCAAAACTTATGCACTCTTTTATGCATATATAATTATATTTATATTTTTTAGGCGAGCTAGTTTACTAGTAACTGTAGACCACTTTACACAAGCTTTGCATAAATATACGAACGATAAAATTAAACTTTCACCTTTGGATAATACAAACTTCTTTCCTTTAGACTGAATTTATCAATCATTTATATAATCCAATATCTCTTACCGAATTTTTCTGATTATTATTATTATTATTATTATTATTATTATTATTATTATTATTATTATTATTATTACTAACTCAATTCGATATGTTTGTATTTATTGTTTCGAAATGTTGAAACATTTCAACATTTTCATTTATTTTTTTGTTTGCACTTAGTTTCCTGTGTAAACATTTGAATGTTATTCGATGATTGACTCAATAAAGTTATTTTGGTTGGATTATTTTCTTTTTTTGTTGTTGTTGATCAAATACATTCCTACGTATGTATAAAAACAAATTTTGGAAAGTAACTCTTAAACAAAACAAAACAACTCACCATGTTTTATAAATACATAGGAATTGAAAATGTTATATTGATGATCATTTCTGAAGATGAATAAATTACTCTAAACAATTCTTTCTTCTCTTTTCTTCTTTTGTTTTTAATATCATCACTTACATATAAAATCAATAACTATGATTCTAGGTATTCCAATGTTTCTTTTCTAACAATTTAATACCACATATCAATGATTGAGTTGAATACTAGCTCAAAGTTAAACAAAGTATGTATTTGGTTTTCATTGAGCATCCATTAAACATGGATAATGAATTCTGAACTGATTTCAGATATTAGGTATATCATACTTACTATGTATAATCGTATGGTATCAACAGTATGATAGATAGACATAGAAATTGCACACAAATTTAAAAGAATAAACATTCTTGAGATTATATATACATATATATTACATAAGAACAATCTCCTAGGGAATTCTTTTTTATGCAATACGAAAAGCTTGTTTCTGATTAGCTTTAGTATGATTAATATATATTTGGGACGTTATTTATTAAATGTTATACATTTTGATGTTTGGACAAATTGGTTTACTTTAGTTTTACATTAAAGAGTAATTATTATAATAAAGCCTACTTACAATTCAACAGAATGTCTGTGTTAATTATAGGTTATTGCTCAAGTAGTTTGTAGGACAGTTTGCAAGATTAACTATGAAGAGCTTTATGTATTGAAATCTTCAAGTAACTGTCTAATTAATTAATTCTTCAAGACTATAAATTTTCTGAGTTAAAATAATACATGCTTAAGTCAAAAGCCACCTAATGAAAGCAGTCTCATCGAACTTCGTGCCTACAATATTAACTCGCCAATACGACGTGATGATTAAGCCTACTTCCAGCTGTTTCATTAGTCTTCAACTACTGACTACGGTTATTCCTTCGTCTAACTACGGAAATCAGCACCTTTACACACTAACTACATTAACAGTCAGTTAACTGATTTACCGATATCATTTCGGAAGACTAAATTTTGTTAGCACTGTTGTTTACATACTCTAAATCAATGATTGAATCTTGATGTAGGAAACCAATCTTGGAAAACTGTCAATTGTATTTACTAAATGAAAAAAGTAGCATTCATAACTGGCGAAGGTTATACACATTACTGTACGATAGGATACATTAGTCTGTGGTATAATCAGAAGTGCTTGGGTAAAGGAAAACCACCGTAATGTAGACTACATGTGTAGTGAACGAGAACACAAGTGAGGACGATCGAATGTATTTGAATACAAAATTACGTGACCTATTAGTAAAATTTGAGAACCATACAGTAAATACTTCATGTGCAAAACGCTAATCAATCGTTTAAGGCTTCATTTTTGTTTCGTTCCCACACCAGCCATTCTCGTTCTCTTTTCTTCGATCTTGACCTTCTGCCGCCAGGCATTTCACTTTCGATTGATGATTCATACTACCTATGTCTGTCGACATCAGTAGCACGCACCACACTCGCAAGACATTTGTTCTAATGTCAGTACCCAATAATAAATCTCTTGGTCGATGGAGCTAACAAGAACCTTCATATCAAGAGATATAGTCAAGGTCAAATATTCCAGGACTTACCAGACCATCTGTTATGATTAGAAGTATTTGAATTATTATACGAACAAGGAATCCGCGAAATAGCGTATTCTAGACCGAAGAGAACTAAGTGCGCACGAACGAATGTATTGTACTTGTGATTTGAAGTCAGGCAGTTATCAAATACAAAAGAACCATTAGATCATACAAACACCACATCAACTTATCTGGATCCCATAAGTTTGTTATCAGATGAAAAAGAATCAGTAGAGCTCTGACGTTAAAAAAGAATACTGTAAATATATCTAGTAAATCGAAGCGCATGACCAAATTAATTAGATTTGCTTATTGGAAAACAACGAGTTTCACCAATTGGATTATCACGACAGCCAATTGTAATATAACTATCATGATACTGAACAACTGCCTACATTAAGAAGCAAATCTTTATTATAAAACAATCTAACACAAATATATGGTAGATTTCGGTAAAGTTGTGTAAGAATTGGTCTTCATTATAGACGTTTTCACATTTTTATCAACCAAATGACTAAAACCCGATAAAAATCTTAAAGTTAATATTTTTCAAGCTTTATCAGCAAGATATTATTTCCTTATCACATCATATTTTACTCGAGTAGTCAAGTTAGGTGATAATAGTTTTATTCACATCAGTATTAGAAGCAAAAACAATAAAAATGGTTATTTTATTCACTTTTATACGTAATTTAAGGAATAAAGTCTAAGTGAACATTGTGAAAACCAGTTTGCATATGATTTAATTTGAAGTTACGGTTATCATTAAGGTGGTGCATGTAAGATGAATGAAAGCATAACAAATAAAACAATTGGTTTTACGTATAGTATACTACTGGCTTCGTAATTATGAAGCAGTCAGTACCTAACTCCCATATTTCATGTTTTTTTTTCTAAAAAGAAAATGTATACACACATTGACCCAAACTTTTTGCTGGTAGAATAATTTGAATGTTACAACTGACCTGGTTATGCAATTTCTCGGTTTATATGTTCTTGCTAAATTTAATCAATATATGACAGACTTCTACAAGCAAATGAAAATAACTACATGTACCATGTTTCTGACAATGTACTACTTTTAGATTTTGCATTTGTTCACTCATGTTTTCAGATATATATGAGATACATATTGTTCTTGTGTTGGACCTGAATCCATTTTCTACTACTTTATGATATGCCAAACTATCACTGTACATATAAAATAATGAGATAGCTCTTAAGTCATTTTCCAACCAGCTTGTTGATGATATATGCATTGAAGTGAACTAAGAATCTGCACACTTCGAAACAAGGATTTTTTTACCCTCTAACCAGTGAATCGAATGTCAAATCTTTATTACACGTATGAGCACATTTTAACAAGTTTATAATTATATATCAAGGTTGATAAGGAATAATTACGCAGAATCCTTGTTTTTCCGTATTTCATGTCTTGGTTGGTAAATGATTAGATTTTTCTTCCGCTATAACGCTTTCTAAACTTTATTCGCGAGACTAAACGCAGATGATACTGACCTGTTTTATTCTGCTTTGAATTAACTAACTAAAAAACTAGTCTTAAGTTCTCAATATACATCCTGAATCCATGGAATTCTATCGAAAAAATAATGGTATAAAACTGTTGAAGTGTTAACTTGAAGCTTTGCGCACTCTATAACGAGATGAATATTAATTTAACGGTTCATATCAAGACGTCCTGCTTTAACTCTCATTGTGCAAAAAGTTATCTCATTTGCTATACCTAGAGAATACTAGACTGACTTCTAGATGATTTTCAAAGGTTCACTAAGGTAGTGAGTAATGAGACAGGTTGTTTTGTAAAAGTTCTAGAATGGAATAAAGTATATGGCATATTTTTGGATGCAAATGGCAAGTGCCTTATACAGTACGACGTACACTTACATAGACTAGTGATGTGATAAATTTTACCCCCCCCCCTCGAAGAAAAATCAAACGTTTTTATAACACATATATATCACTACAAATACGCCAATATAGTTTGCAACAAGTTTGCCTTGTAATATACAAAGATACAACAGCCTCCTAGAATCGTTTCCTTAGTGAAAGAGACTACTCCTGTAAGTATAAGTCCATAAAGATTATTAATTTGGAAATTCGCAACTGGTATGAACAGTTATTCACACTATATTAGCGACAACAGAACTAACTCAATCATCTAACTTGGCTCAACTGAGGTGGAAAAAAATATAACAGGCGGCTAGTTTTATAAATCGCGTACAACTGTGCAGCTTTCATTCACATGGCAGCTAGTGCGACACTGAGTGACTGATGTGAGATCTGATTATCAGCTGGGCTTTGCAACTCAACTAGTAAGTTAGACAAGTTATATGAAATGATCGCTCCAGGGTGAACGCAGATTTTGAACTTCAACTATAATCTCTTAAGAGGTTCTAAAATAAAGTAACATGCAACTATTACACAGAGTAGTGTATCAAACAAAAGCTGCTCTATTGGCGGAACCCATGAATGATTTGATGTCGGTTAATGAACAGGTCACAATACTAAAAACCATTTAAAAAGTGTTTTGTGACAGTAAAACATCTCAGCTGTTGAGATAGTAATACTTTATTATTGATATTATGTAATTAAATGTAAGCTTGATAGGCAAATGGACTACTAATTGAAGAACCATAATTATCCTTGATCTTTATTACTTCTTAAAAGTGTACTTAATAATACGACCGATGAGAAAGTTTATCACAAGAATAAAGCACTACGCCGATTGAGAATTGATGAGAATACCTTGTCAGAACGTTGAAACTTAACACCCACAAAATAGAGCTAAGATTGAGTAGTTACAACAGACACGATCTCAAACCCAGTAACATGTACTTCGGTTAGTACATTCCGTTGGCAGCTTTGATCTTCACAGAAAATATACCTCAAAGTAGAATGCACGAGCTTGTATTTGGTTGCTGGAATTTTAGTTTTTCTCAATTTAGCGCACAAAACAAATATCATGGATAATCACCAATTTACCTTGCCACCAGCTATTACATAATTATTTTTACTAACGACGAGAAAAGATAAAAAGGCTTTAGTGAAAGATGTTATATCGACAATATAAGTCAGAAGTAATACCGACATTTTAAATATACAATTACGGTATGAACCAATTAGACGACTTAAAAAATAACTAAAATATTGACAAGTAATAATCTTGTTCAAATAAAAACATGTTCTTATTTGAATTGAAGGTAGTAACAAACGTTTAAATAACAAAAAGGCAAAACAAAATAGACTAGTAATGGCAAATACTTATGCAAATAATCACAAGCTTTTACAAATCAGGAAATGCTGACTCAAAGATTAATTAGGAATGCAGTATATTTGCACAAGGGAGAATGATAACTTACAACCAACATCTGACATCTTAGAGTTTATATAGAATATTTGGGAGGTGGCTCTTCTGTAGGTCTGATTGTAGGTGGGTCCCCAACTATTAGAACAGGTTGGATGAATCGGTCACCAAAAGAAATCGGAGCAGAAGCGACAGACCTAGACAGGTGGCACTGCATTCTAGAATGTCGAGATGTGTTATTAATTCTGAGATTAGACTGATGTGATGCATTTCGACATAAAAGTCGTGACAAACGCGAACGTATGGATGAATGGAAACGAGGACGAGATATCCCAGCTGAACGTCTCCTATAGCGACGAGATGGGTTCGACTGAAACGTCATACGCTGGTTTCGCTGAATGCGGGTAACAGCTGCACTCAAACCAGATCTCCTTTGTGACTCATTGTAACTAGGAGGAAAGGGAGGAAATATCATAGGTGGTTCTTCATGTGTAGGTGAAAGCATCACATAAACAATCGTAGTGGAAGATGAAAACGGAAGTGGATTAGATGAAGAATCGGAGGCATTGGAAACATTTATAGGGACTTGGAGAGTTGTATACAGAAGATGAGGACGAGGTTCACTAGGACGAATAAGACGCAATCCTTTAAGACGACGAAATATAGATCTACTTAAGGTACCAGGTTGTCGAGTAGAGGACTGTTCATTGCTGGAAGAGCAAGCAACTGAAGTTCGATCTTGAGTTTCGAAGCTCTCTGAATCGAATAGGTTGGCAGCTGCACGAGCGGCAGATAAAGCTACTGTACCAGTACCTGCTTGTGTGAGAATTAATGAGTGACGATTCAACTCCGATAAAAAAGGGATTAACGTATGGTGGATTTGTGGCTTACGAACTACTTCATTAGCATTACTGATGGGATAATTTCGTGTAGGTACATCTGAATCGAGGGCTAATATTACATTGCCAGTACCAACAAAGTCATTTATTGCACCTGATCGAAGCACGGAAGCCGCTTGATTAGCTGTAGCAGCATTGAATGACACTATATTAGTACGTAATGAACGTGAATTTTGAAATCGCAAATTAAGAGAATTTGAGCAAACACACCGACAACAGAGAATGGATGTTGCAAGACTGACCGATGCTTCTAGAATACCGACTACCAACAAAAGGAGGTGCAAAATAACTTGGCATGTGCGCACGTAGGTATCAGACGTTTCACGCAGGACATTTTTAAAGTCTGAAAGCTGTAAATCAGACCAATCCTGGGTTCTGGTTGTTAACACCGCCAATGAAGACTTCGGGTCGTGCCTTTGAAAGAAAGTTTTGTTCTCGCGGTGACTTGGTGAAATTTTCGTAAGTTCACGTGAAAACCCTTTCCGTGTAACAGTACTGCTAAGGAAACCATCTTCTATTGTCCCAGCCACAGAAACACAAATGAGAACACATGCAGACAAGCTTACAACCATACACAGCACCAACAACCCTACTAAGGCACATACAATAGGGCGACGAGCAGCAAGAAGACCATGAAATCCAGTAACCACCATTAATATTCCAGCCCATAATCCTGTAGCCATCTGATATAAAAAGACTGCCTTGGTGAAAGCAACACTCGAGAGGACGATAGCTGCGAAACCACATAACAACTGAATTATGCTTAGAATTATAAGATTTTCATTAGTTACTCGGTGACGCGGGAAAGAAAACAAAGGACATTTGCAAGGCCCAGTGAAAAGTAGGCAGAAAAGAGCATTAGGTGGGCATGGTGAAACAGTTGGGACCAAACACTTTGATTTGAAACAGCAAATATCAAAACAGTGTTTTTTTGGTATGACTGGGGCGCAGAAAGTGCAGAAGCAACATGGACGAGAAACCTCCTCGTCTTGAGATAGATCCGACTGCACCTCAGGAATAGCAGGTGGGCACGAAGTCAGGAACTGGCTACTAAATAATCTATTTGAATGACCATTATTAATATTTTCGAATGCATGATAATCACCCATATTCGGACATGATCGTACAAAAGGTATGGAATCAATTCCATGGACGAAATTTGAGTGTACATAAGTAGGGACGTAATTTCTTGAAATTCCTTCTATATGAGCATGTATGCTGCAGCGACCCGCTACGTCGAATGATGTTTGTTCTTGTATCTGATCGGACGGTTGTAATCCTGCTTGAAAATTTGGAGTGAGAGACTGTCTACGAAATCCACAACTGTTGTTTGTAACATCTTGCGAAGCAGTGCATGTAAACGCGTCTACCATTTATTGTTGTATAACTTCCTTATATCATGAGATTAGAGCTACTTTTAAACACAAACTAATCGTAAGCATAAAATGCTTTGTATTGTACATTCCAAAAAGGCAACGTAGTGTGTCTCAGTAAATGAGCTGTGGAATTGAGATCAATAAAACTTTGAAAGTAAAATTAGAAAACCTAACAAGTTATTCAACAAATAAATATGACCACAAAACAAGTCAAAATATGAACTACGAATATAAACAGGTGCAAGTATCATAAAGGACTTTGTCTTACATTAATAACTGTACGAAGGAGTTTCTAATTTCTAAAGAAAAAGTCATTATGTGAAATCGTTATTTTGCATTAGCAAAACGAAATAACTTCAGGACTTGGTGTATTTTTATTTAGTCCCTTTAAACTCACTTTTTTCTCCGTTCCTATCCCAATTTTTCTAAGGTGACAGATTCGAACACATAAGCTAAACATTTTATTTATTGATTTATTTAAACACATAGATATTGGTACAAGGGTGCACCAGATACACATGCGCCACACGAATCTCATTTGATTTGTGTGAGGGCTCTGATACTGCCCGGGTGTCCAAACTGAAGCAGTATCTTGATACTATATTTCACACAAGATGTTATTTTATTGCCGGATGTTTAAACTTTAAACACGTCTATAGCTAAGATTGTGATTTAATAGCAAGGCAGCTCGATCTTCAATTAATGGTTACCAAGTAAGAACAATTATATTTACTTTCGTTTGAGTAACCCGGTAGTGTCACTGGTAAGAAATAAGAATACATAAACGCGTACTTTTTACTGATTTGAACCTAACTAATGGAATCTGACTGCTACTTTTGTGTTGATAATACTAACTGACAGCCAGATTCTGCATACTTAATGTGGGTTTTATGGAATGTCTCGAGTAGAGAACTTACATACACTCATACCCATAATCCGCCACAAATCAACGCGCATCAAGTTTTAAGGAGCTCACTAAAATAAAGTGTTTATAAGCCCAGTACTTTCCTACATAACAAGAAAATTCGCTAGACATTTTCATGCAGTGCTTTCCTGTGAGTTGAAAGCTAATCATGAATCCAGTACAATGTGATGTTTCGTGACAGTGCTATTTGAAATCTGTTTGATTGTAAAGTACGTTCAGGATCACTCCACTCAACTTCATATTCGTATCAGCTTTGATGGGTTGGTAGTAGACGAAATCTTAGTGTACATACATAAAGCTTATTTGTTACTCGTAGTTCCACACAATCTATGGGACGAGATATGGCAGGTGTACTAATGCTTAGTCTAGCCAAATGAAACAATTTATTAGGGCCACCTTGTTTAGAAACCTTACTAGACCTGGTTTGTGTCTGACAAAAACTTGACACGAATACAAAAAACCCCAGTGCACTTGTACTTGCGACTGTGATGCTGGCATGTTTATCTGCCCATCATAGGTCCTACATTTTGCAACTTCGTTTGTTGTGCCTTGGTTTTTACTATAAAGCATCAATCAAAGCAGAAGATATGGGTAGGTTGTTATTATTTGATTGTAGGTCTCTTCAAAACATTGCCTCAGCATGTTAGAATCAATTCAATAATGATGCAAGTTTTATGTCACAATGTGTGGATACTAGGTTTATATGGTTGTAAACTATTATCGACAGGCGGTCAGTACGTATTACACAAGCACAGTAGCATTTCAATGTAATATACTTTGAAAATAAGTACGAGAAAATAGGGAAGCAATGTGGGTGACGAGCATCACAGTTGTGGAAGTTACTGGATGTATGTATGCGCTATGCAGTTAAATATTGAAACTGCGGAGTAAGTCGTGCCTATGGCTAAAGACTCCAAATTACGCAGTTCAAAACTAGTCAGTGCTCCAAATATACTCACTTTTTATACCACTCAAGATATTAAGGTTAGTGTCATCGCATACCAATATTTATCTTGTTCTTTCCTATATTTGGTTATTCATTGAAACCAGCTGTATTTGTTACCATGGTTTGATAACTGGTATTTCAAATTGTGACGACTTAACCGAGCCAAATTAGCCGAAACATCTGGTTCTTTGAGCCCCATAGGGCTTGTTGGTATACCAACAAGGTCAATTTGAAACAGGAATCTCCATGGCACAAAGCTTTTCCGAAAAAGTTATCAACCTTCCGAACATAATTTCGTGCGAACAAGTGTCCAAGCTTTCAAGAAAAGCCTATAGGTTATAGTTACATTCAGAAGCGTATAGTATGTTAGTGACGAACTGACACTAATGTTTGATGTTCTTACCCCAGAGCACAAAACGGAATCTGACTTCTGTGACAGTTTTGACTAAATTTATCCACAAGTAAAAACTAGGCCACATAACAACACAATAAAAAAAATTAACAGAAAATACCGTTTGCCCCCAGGTGACCTTCACGATCAAAAGTGTGGTGGCGCTAACGAACATAATGTGTGACCTAGTAACAATGGCATAGTCATTCAATGCTAACGACGAGCGAAAAGTTAGAAAACAGTATTCCTTTTTTTAAATCCATATAAATTTCAACTGTTTATAAAAAGTGATGTAGTACTTGTTGTGATTTGTTATGTTTTTTGTGTAATGAAGGCTTCAAGAGAATACTTGAACTACTTTCAAATGGTTTAAATGGTTGTGGACGCAAAAGAAGAAGCTTTCGAATCACGGGAATCTGTGTCTAATAGCAGTGGATCACCAATACCTCCAGGCATGAACCTCGGTATATCAACGACAAAAGAGGAAAAAGAAATGGGTAAATAAATGTAAGATACTGTTCAAAACTATTGTTCCACCCAGAATGTTTGAGGATGCTAGGTAGCCGTGAGGTAGATTAAGGTCGATTAAAGCGCTCCTTAAAATGCTATAAACGTCCAAGTTGAAGCACGTAATAGTGTTGTCTTTTCCAGAGATCGTTTCACACACACATGAATTCTTAATTCCAGTTTCGTTAACTTACTTAAACCTGTAGCTCTTCTAGAGTTACTGCCGGTCACAAGCCCGGGTAAAAGAGGAGGGTTGAGCGTGGGGTTAGCGACCCCATCCTGTAGAAAACTGACTCACTGAAAATAATTCGGTTTCTTTTATTAGTCTGAAAAGGTGTCTTGTGTTACCTACAGCATCTGCCATTTCCAACTCTTTCGCTTTCGTTGCCCACCACTGCTCACGGTCGTCCCTCAAACTTTGGGTTAGCCTAGATCTGATTTATTTACGCTCTTCATCGCGTTCAATGCCTGATGGGATGAGTTTACGAGAATTAAACGAAAAGTATATATATATATATATATATATATATGATGGCTTACATAAGTGCTAACAATCCGATGAAGCCTCAACGGTCGTTCGTTTCGGCCTACATCTCCTTCACCGAGCCGCAGCATATTGAACAGAGTTTCACCAGCCACACGACCAAACAATGTGTGTTTTCCTGTAAGTTCTGTAGCCGACCCTAGAGTGAAGAAAAACTGACTCCCGTTCATGTTTTCTTCAAGGCACGCCATCCCAACAAGGCCACGACGATTGAAGGATAGTCTTGAATGAATTTCCGTCTGAACGATATAAGAGCAAGAGATTTAAGACATGAGGACTCTACTAGTTAAACTCAATAAATTGTTAAATAAGTTTATAACCAAAAGGGACTGTAAGTTGGTTACTAACATAGTGAAATGGAATGTTACTTCAAAGAAATCATCTTTAAAAAATTAACAGTCAAATAAATGTGGTTAGTTGTCTGTCTAAAGGTCAATTTAAGTAATAACACAAAAAGCCTACTTTGATGGCCTAGCTCAATTTGTAGTTACATGTTAGTTTAACAACCTTCATTCAAGTAATTTTATATCGTCATCATTAACACTACAACTTAGTATTACAACTAATATTACGTTGCCACAAATATCTACTGTTCATATTTACTTTGAGAATTTAACTCTTTGAAGAATATATATAAAATACTATTCTGTGACCTTTTTGATTATAAATTTATCAAGAGGGGATTTTGGTGGATTTTGTGTCTTTCAATGGTGGACTGACTGAATCGAACAAACATAATGATCTGGTAGTCCTGTCATAAGAGAAAACGAACTAAAAGCTAGGACAAAAACCACGATAAAATCGGAAGATACATAAAGAATAAGTAAAATACTTTTGACCAACCTTAAAGGGTTGTCCGTATATACTTTCGCCACCTTCTCCAGTACCTGTCGGATCTCCACCCTGAACGATGAAACCACGAACAAGCCGATGGAATGATGTGTCATTATAGTAGCCCTCCATACACAGCTGGACAAAATTTCTGCATGCTTTAGGGGCTTCTTTGGACCATAACTCAATTTCTATTTCCCCAACTGTGGTCTTTAGAATAACTTTACCATGAGTTGCTGGTTCGGTAACGTAGATGTTACTCATAACTGAAAAGTAAAAGACGTTACATAAATATGTGCAGGCTTTATTATTATGCTGATTATACTTTGGAACCACTGCCGAAAATATCACACTTCAATGCAATGCTTGTCAGATTAAATTATAAGTTGTTGTTTTCATAAACGGTGCGCCACATAGATCATGCATAAAACTGGTAATGGATATCAAATAATTTCGTAGAGCGATTCGAAAAAAACATTGGACCAAAATTCATTGTGTATACAAAAGTATTCGCATAAAATAAAATAACTGAAATAATGAACAAGGATTAGCACGTATATTCAATGCCGAAAAAAACATAACGGTGTTATATTTCCAAAAGAATGCCTGTCTCATACCGAACAGTGTTGATTCCAATAAGTAATGAGACTGTAGTTTACGGACGACCTTGTAGCGATGCTGAAATGACCTTGGGAATGTCCACCTACTAACAAGGACTAAACGAGGGTTATTAAGCAATGTAAGGAATTATAATTGTGATCTAGAGTTGCTGACTAGGGTTGAAAACTATATTTAGTGTTTTAATCACTAACTGACATCAGCTATGATGTCGAAATAGTATTTAGCCAAATGTGTGGATGGATTTCGCGCTAAAATCCAAGACCCCTAGCAATCAAGAGGTTCTGTCCACCGCAGTCAGCATGTTGGTTATACAATAATGGTCCCCTCTGAAACCGTGCTGTTTGGGTGAAAAGAAGCCTAAGGATAATAAATAGTCGTGCATACCGTCGCATATCAGGGACTCCATAATTTTTAAAGGTATAGAGAGGAGAGCCACCGGTCGATAACTCGAAGGTTTGCTTAGTCGACCTCCTTTGAAAATTGGTGTGATGTGAGCCTGCTTCCAATTTTCTGATGATGTACCTCGGTTTAGTGAATGTGAGATCACGCCAAACGGTGTTGTCAAAATGAAAGCTGCTTCCCTCAGTATAGTAGAATGGACCATATCTGGGCCAGGAAAAGTTTCCTTGTTTAGGTGACGCAGTTTCCCGTACACCACGTCAGGACTCAAGTCCGCTTCTGAGCATCCTGTTGAGTTGCAGATGGAGCTTTCATCAAAATATTTAGTGTGAGTCGGTTGTAATGTCCGAGAGTACTGTTTAGCTGCATCACCGTTGTTGCTGGTTGGGCCATTTGGACTTAGCAGTTAGGAAACTCCGGTTATGGCTTGCCAAGGGGAGACTGCGTGATGGAACAAGGTTTTTGGATTCGAAACAAACTTATCGATTAGCTTTGCCGACGCCTATCTTCTTTTATTTCTTTTGTGCATATGTTCTTTTTATATTTGTATTGCCCGTATTACCTGAATTATCTCGGTTAAGGTTTAAAATTTTCGTAGATCTGCTTTGAGGTACTTTTCTTTGGTGGATTACGACACCAGTAATCACATTGTATATATGGTCGTCTTTTAGCCCTTTTATTCCAATAACAATGGTCGGCAGTACTTATAAATATAGACGGCCAAAATTTTGTTTCTCCATGGTGGAAGAAATGAAATGTAGTGAATGCAAAATGTGGGTTCATAAGATATGTATTCATTTAAGTCCCACCCCATACAAAAGATGCTCGAAGCTAAACTCGCATTGGTTCTGTACGTTTTATTGTTCGAATAAGACATTATTGATCCGGAAGGCTAATAGCATCCCGGCTCTGGCCTGCAATAAGATTGATTGTGCTTGCACTGTTAACACGAGTACTGACAGCAAACAATATGTCATTGTAGTACCTGCTGTTGTGAGACATGCTAAACACCCATCTATGAATCACGGGAAAGTAAAATCTCTTTCTAAACTACCAAAGAGTGAAATACTACTTGATGTAAATGGCCATGATTCTAAAGTAGAAATTGAAGACCCGGATAAAACGTCACCATTCTTGGTGGTCTCGATGTAGTTATCCAGAGTGACGGTAAATGGACGACCATGCGGAAACAAAGAAGCAAGTAAAAATGCTACTCTGTATTCTTCTAGTGCTTTTGAGGTAACAGCTGTGAAAAGGAACGTGTAAGGTATTCGATGTCTGGCGGATTCATTTGGGCTGGTCTGCCCATTAGTTTTTCACAGTGGTCTGCACATATGTTCCACTGTTCATGCATCTCAGCGATAGACATGCTTTGTTAGTTCTCGACTGATCGCTCTAGTTTACCATATTCCCCTGTTAATTTCTTCGTTGTACCAGACAGTTGTCTTACATTTCCTTCTCTTGCAGCTTTGAATGCTGTCACTGTTAGATCTTCTATGTGTTTCTGCTTGTCGGCTATAATGTGCCACTTCATTCTCTCGTTTGTTTCTGTGTGTGTTCGGCATGAATCTCTTTGTTCTTGTCCAATTGTTGTTAATTGCTGTCTTCTCATCCTTCCTTCCTTAAACCCTGCCATAGTAATAAACGGAAATTCATTTTTATGATTGCGCTTTAGCTCTCCAGCACATCCAGGCAACTTGAAGTCAACGTTTCTTCAGTCACTTTTCGGTTGTTGCCCATGAAAATCTCCTTTTCTCTAAGTATATTTTGCAAGGTTTTTAAACTGTGCTGAGATGCGTTGTGAATTTATTATGTTGTGATGGTCAGTATTCAATATAATCCTTAAACTTCGTATACAGTTCGTCTTGATAACCGTTTTATATAACGCCCCAACGGTATATTATTCGGAAGGTGAATACGAAGCGTTGATTACGTTTATTACGAGACCACACATATATATCAAAATGTACAGATGCGTTAAACAAGCATAGAAGAGTTGTGCCGAAAGGCAAGAAAGCGATCGAGCGAGTGAGCAAATATGAGTAAGCGAGTATAATCAAGCGAGCGAGAGCCAGAGCGAGACGAGAGTGTGTGTTGAATATGAATAACATGGACATATATATACCTAGTGAAGCGAATGAGTCATGGAATCAAATAAGCGGTTAGTAGTAAGACAAGCAGAGTGAATAAATGCGTAGGCAGTAAGCAATATTCAAGCATACGTATTTCATGCATGCACAAAATAATAGGGGTACAATAAATTGTTATAGTGCGGATGACTTTGTCCGCTAAATAAGTTATAAAAAGGGCTTAACTGAGTTAAATGAGAATAAACTCAATTGCACGTGGGTCGCTATAATGTCTGTCAGTATTAAAACTTTGTAATGCTGTTTCTTCAGTCCTCCAGTGCTTCATTAGCCTCAGTTCCATCTTAGCCACAACCATGTGGTAATCTAAAGCTATCACCTCTCCTTTTTCTCACACCCTCCTACTCTTCGGTATCAATCCCTTCATACTCTATGATATCATCCCACAATTTACGCAATAAGGGGGATATTCTGGCGATTCCAAGAACCTACGCAAACTTGCACCAGACTTTTTCCGTTATTCGCTACCCAATCATGTGGAACAGACTGCCAGTGAACATCCGTTGCAGTAAAACTACGACCCGGTTCAGAAGTCTGTTTGATGATTTTCTTTTCGAAAGTGGATTGCGTCACCTATTGAACATCAATATATTTAATAATGATTTATACAAAAAAGGTCCGTCATCCATCTAATTGCCTGAAAAGCAAAATGTAACCTTTGAAACTTTTCACGTCTGTTCCATTTTATTTTCATTCATCTCAATATATGAAGTCTGGTTATGTTCGTATCTATAATTATTGCTGTTATGAATATCATGATTAGTCTTTCGTGCCTTAAGGTAACCCTCGTGCTATTGATAGAAGAAACCAGACAAGTAGTGAATAGGTCTTTATTTCGATCTTCGCGCAGTCACAGTGGAGTGTGTGATTATCTGTTCAGACAAACAAAGGCTCTCAACATTCAACATAAGATAATAGGGAATATAACGCTTATAAACAATAAGGAAGTGAATGAATACTTGAACAATACTGTCTCGGTATATGCTTGGTTGTTTGGGGTCAACTCTTAACCAACCAACCTAAGCTGTTACATTAGCTTCCCCCTAGAATCGACTTCCGTAGGAACGTCGGTTCGATCAACCTATCTATCGAAAACGCCTTAGTTCTATTCCTCATCCCAAGGGAAAATTATCAACTCGCTCACTGTTTGATTTACAATCAGTGACGACTGACGCTGTCAACGATAGTCCATGGATGTCTCTTCACTTACTAGCTTGTCATCTTATTTTGTAGCATGTGATCTATCCTACAACTATCGCTGACGGTTTACTGCGTGCTTTCAAGAGAAAGAGTGTGAGAATGTGGAATAAGAATATCTGAGGAAGTGCCGCGAGCGGGCTACCCAACATCATGTTGGTGAGGTACGATTTCTCCGTGCTCAGACCGGCTATCAGGTGTTTACTCACCTGCCTCTTGAGTCGCCCTCAAGTAAAAAGTAAAGAAGAATCTACTTCAAAGGTGATGGTGAAAATCAAGCAAACCTGAAGAACTGCTCCACTGCCTGCATAAAATAATAGGATACAAAATGGAAATACATAAATGTAATTGATAATTGTTCGGTTCCATGTAAGTGCTTGGTCTCCAGAACGGATTGGTATTCTGGAAGAGAATAGACATAGTGTAGATATCTTGTGCACGAAAGACCATGAAAACAAAAAAATACTCTTTTGTAATGCATATATGTAAAAGGGCGAACTTGCTAGAAGTTGGACTCTTTAACAAAATCGATCAAACGCATGACCCTGAGCCTGTGATGACCGCGTTTTACAACTAGGTGCGTAACCAAGGGTGCATCAGAATACTCCACAAAACGGAAAGGAATATACGGTTAAGAAGCAAAAAAAATTGTGTAGAGTATGCGGATCAAGTACAGTTGTGTCAAATACCCTTTTCTTGTTTGATTTAGATATGCATAATATATATTGAAGCAATATATCGTCAATTCATCCAAGTAACGAATTGGTTTACACCTCAGAAGTGTGTAAGTCCTATTACTCATTAGTATTATGAGTGATTAATTGGTGTAAGGAAATATTGAAGTCACTTCCTCCGTGGTCTGCTGTGGCTTAACGGCTAAGCACGCGGTCTAGTATTCAGGAGGGCAGAGGTTCGAGTGCGTGTGGAGCCTGCGTTTTTGTTCACCAGACCCACCTTCAATACGATGTTTGTTGCCCGTAAGTCGCGCACATAAGAGAGAAAAAATGACAAGAGGACAGATTGATGTATCAAAGTGCCATATTGGAAAAGTATAAGTCCTTTGTTTACATGAATATTATTACTATAGAAAAAAAACTACAAGTTTAGTAAATTTCCATTTTACGTTATATTTAAAACAAAGAGTATATATATATCAGTTATTGACATAAAATGTCTTTTTTATAACGCTAATGTTAAGTTCCAGGACTTTGTATGGACCACTAATAATAATTGGTTTAACGTTAGCATAGTCGTGATATTCATATTGTCAGTTCAATGTTATGATTACGAAACAGTTCCCTTATAAGTTGTTTAAAATTAGGTATGTGGAATCAATGCGGCTGACATAGTAACCTTACAGTAACGCACTGTACTATATCTTCACGGTTATTGATTCTTAAATGTCAGAAATTTAAAAAAATCTGAATATTGCCAATAAAGATGGGTTATATGATCACACTGAAAACCATGCTGTAGGAAAACTGGTTAAGTCATTATGTAAGTTTCCTAAACATGAAAAAAATGATGAGAACTTTATTAAGTATTTGACTATAGTTTAATCCAAAATGTTTTGTCTAGAAAACCACTTATTAATAGTAGTATTAAGCGTATCAAGCTACTAAACACATCTTCGACCGAAAACTTTTAGAAGTAGTTCATATGGTATATATGTATAGCCAGTCTACGTGAAAAATGTATATAGATATATAAGAAGTACAGCCAACATAGTTAATTAACCAGAAAAAGAAATTATAAAACTCGCCTGGGTTGCTTTTCGAATTCGTTGTATTTGCCAGTGTTAGTTGTATGAGTTTGATTAAAATCCGCAGCCATCGTTTCGGAATACCTAGCTTATGTGTCCAGTATTTAAAAAAAATTTAACATAACACTTAAATATCAAAGGCAAAAGGTCTGGGGAGTTGTAGGTGAGGCGGAATGAGGAGAAAAGTTATTTTTAAGTAGATGAAGGGTCTGATTAGCTACGTGGTTAGCATTTATCCTGCAGCTGAAACTGTCAATATCCTTGATTGGCTAATCGGATGTGCCCAGCGAACCGTTTTAGTCATTTGTAAAGATTTATCGTTTTTGCATTTCGATTCCGTAATGGATTTGTCAGTTAAACGATCTAACAACACGTATGGTGGTTCATGATCTAGATAAGCCGGCTTTAGCCTATCAATACTTACTGTGTCGATGTTTCCATGTTTTTCTATCACGAAATATTTAGATTTTCTTGAGACGACTTTGAAAGGACCTTCAAATGGAGGGCTAAGTGGTGCTTTTATTTTGTCACATCTTATCCAGACGTGCGTGCAATTGCTTAGGTCTTTAGGTACATATACGGCACGCGATTGTTCGCGAGTATTAATTGGTTTAAGTTTGGACATATGGTCCCGTAGTTGATCTACGTAGTTTCCTAAATTAAGTTTTTGACTGTTAGTATTGGGGTTAATAAATTCACCTGGTAGTCTCAGAGTTGTTCCAAAAACCAGTTCCGCAGCTGAACACTGTGCGTCAGTTTTGACAGATGTTCGTATTCCCAACATAACTAACGGTAGGAATTCTGTCCACTGATTGGGGTTTGAGTGAGATATAAGGGCGGTTTTTAGCTGACGGTGAAGACGTTCTACCATCCCATTAGCCTGAGGATGATATGCAGTGCAGCGTATCCTATTGGAGCCTAGAAGTTTAGCCAAGTTATTAAATAGTTCGGATTCGAATTGCGCTCCTCTATCCGTCGTTATTGTTATGGGTGTACCATAAATGGTTACCCAGTTCTGCATGAAAACTTTGGCTACTGTTTCCGCTGTGATGTCCGCTATCGGGATGGCTATAGGGAATCTGGTAAATCGATCTATGCATGTAAAAAGATAATTAAAACCGTTTGAACGAGGTAAAGGACCTACCAAGTCGATATGCACATGGGCAAAACGTGCATCTGGTTGCGAGAAAACACCTATGGGTGAATTTGTGTGACGATTAATCTTTGATTGTTGACATGCTGAACACTCTCTAACCCATTTGTGTACATCCTTCCGTAAATTCGGCCATATATATCTGGCA